GAAGATGCACGCATACCACCCCCACTGTTTTCGCTGTGACCTCCACTGCCTCCACCAGATACAGGCTCAGGACTAAAGGACGGGCAGCGCAGACCTTTGTCAGGGCTGTCTAGACGATGCTCCAGAGAGAAGCCGAGAGCATTGAGACGATCCTTCAGCATCCGGTTTTCACTCTTCAGCATATTTAGCTCATCAAGGATGCCCTGGTTCTGGTCTTGAAGGAGGAGCAGAGTGGACTCCACATCTGTGGCACTGATCACAGGAGAAACCTCTTTCTCCTGAGGCTGCTTGGTCTCTTGAGATGCTTGTTCCGGATCAGGGGCCTCAAGTTCTTCCAGACCAAGCTGGGCTCTCATACCTCTAAGTTCAGAGCGGAGATGGAGGATCTCCAGGTCTTTGCTCTTGGCTAAGCCCAGCAGGTCCTTCACTTGACACTCCAGCACTGCTTTATGGCTTATCTGGCTGTCTGAACGAGATTTGCTAATCCGAGAATCAGTCTCTGCTACGGTACGGCATCGTGAACGCTTCTGAGGCATGGCATCGGTGGGTACAGCAAGCTTTTTGGCAACACTAGCTCTGGTACGTTCTCGCAAGTTGTCTCGGGTCGTGCCTGGATCCTTGGCTGTGGATGACATGGCACGCCTTGCTGAAAGACCTACAGGAGAAAGAAATGGTTATAAGCAGAAATACTTCCATAACCACATAACTGTTATGGATATTTCATTAGCTGTGTTGTGGGTATCAAAGTATTTGTGCAACACAAACAAAACACTTCCTCTTTAACATCTTTAGAACCAAGGCAATGCTTAGCACTACCTGAACTGGTCTTGGACCTGGTGTCAGTGCTGCTGGTGTTCTGAGAGGAGCTTCCTCTCTTGTTTCTAGCAGTAGTGTTACTGTTGCTAACAGACACTGCTCCACTTCCTGCACTCACCGCTGGGAGATCATCACTGCTCTTTGCCTGGTTAGCACGCAAAACATTAAGTTAATGATCTGCTACAGACAAATCACAATGCAACATTCTTAGCTTGCACTTGGTTCAACATATTCATAATCAGTGTTGGGGAAAGTTACTTTTAAAAGTAATGCATCAAGTTGTAACCATAGTAACGCGAATGGCGTCGTGTCCGCGCGGACGCGCACAGTCTACGCTAAAGCTTAGCTGCGCCTAGTCGTAGTTTTAGATGGTGCAACAGGTGTAAATATTCATCGGAAAGCTGGACGTAACTAAGTCCAACGTAGAGTTTACACCCAACCTTTTTACGTCCAGCTGGTGCAACCGGCCCCGTGGTCTAGAACTACAGTAAGATCATGTTCACACGCAACGCTCTGCACTTACTCCTGATTTCTCTCAACATGGCAACACCAAAGCTGTCAAACAATACATGGAAACAAAGTAACTGGAGTTACTTATTTGAAAAAGTAACTCAGATATTTCCTTCTAAATGAAAAAGTAATGCGTTACTTTACTAGTTACTTAAAAAAAGTAATCTGATTACGTAACTCGCGTTACTTGTAATGCATTACCCCCAACACTGTTCATAATGATTAAATACAAATGGTTCAGCTTCCTCCATGCTGAACAGTTACCTTAGGTAGTGGAGCTGAACTCTGAGTTTTGTTCGTCATCTTGCCACCTGTGCCCATAATGCTGCTTCCCTCTGGTCTGCCTGGGGCTTTAGTGCCCACTGAGGTTCTGGAGGTGGCGGCCGTGGGCTTGGTCGCCTTTTTCATGCTTGGCTCCAGGTTCTTGATACATTTACAGCGTAATCTAAATGAAGGAAAATGGCCAATTAGTTATTTAGATACATTTTCAAAAAATGCAGAACAAGTTAATACTGAATGACAATTTCGAATACCCCACTCCTTCAGAAAATACAAAACAGCATTTAAAAAAGAAGTTTCTGAACAGAAAGGCATGCAGTGCTAAGTAAACCCAGCCGTAGAAAAAACATACATCACAAAGGCTTCACCACCACATACTGTATATTTTTCTTCAAACCTTCCTTTTTGTCCTGTAGCATTCAAAAGCATTCAATCCAGTAGAGCTTTAATCGAAATCTCTCATTACCTTACTCCAGCACTGGTTATTTTCCTCGGGGAACACATTGTGTACAAGTCTATGTCTTTTCTTGGAGACAGTTGGAATGTAACATTATGGTCCCCGAGGACTCTATTTATGCAGCTTCACACACACTGTAAACTCAGACACTTTAGGGGAAAACAGTCATTGGCCAGTGTTTAAATGCACACAAGACCGTGTGATTGGAGGAGGGTCAGAAGAGGATGGAACTGCCTTTCTTATCACATCATCATGGGAGGAGGCCAGACCCATTGGAGGAACTGCCCAACTGCATCTAGCCTTAAAAGGCTTTGAAAGTCTAGAGCAGCAGGGCTAGGCTTGAGGCTAGAAAAAACACAACAGCTATATGTAGTACAGAGGGGAAAAAAGAAGCCGTTTGAAAAATTCAATTGTTTGTGTGTGTGAACTACACTCCAATTTTGAGGTCAAATGAGGTAAAATTTCCTCAAATACCTTAAAAACTAGTATATGTACATTATATTCTTAAATTCATTTATATCTTATGTGTCTATATATGTAAAAAATGTATTGTAAAAATGCTATAGGCTAGCCCATCTGTAAGGGTTATGTAGCTATAACAACTGTAATGTAAGAACAAAAGAAGTCTAGAAGAGAGATCTGTGCAAGTCTAAGTGTACACACATGTTGATATAACTTCTAGAAATCAAGAACCAGAGACTTCACTGCAATGCTCATGCAGCTAGTGTACTCTGACCTTTTTCTTGCTCTTATGTGGCCTCTCTTTGCAAACTGAAACTATGGCGATGTGGATCATTTGATGGCAAACAGATGAGACAGACACCAGCCTAAACACCCCTATTTTTCCCACAAGCCTTTTAAGTTGATATGTTTGAACAGTAGTCAAAACAAAAAGCACCACACCCAACTACAGACCACAACTCACCGTCTTACCGAAAGAATATAGATATATTAAGCCAAACCTGACGATATTGTAAAAGGTAGCCATCTTTAAATTCAATGAATTATGCAAATAAACTCAAATACATTTTTATTAAGAATTAAAATAAGTTCTGAAAATGATTCTATCCTAGCTTCCATAATAGTGCGTAAAGAAAAAAACAACAGAAACACATCAAATTCCTGTATGAGCGTTTCTTAAAGGGATTATTCACCTAAAAATAAACATTCTGTCAACATTTACTCAACCTCATGTTGTCCGAAATCTGTATGTCTTTCTTTCTTCTGTGGAACATTAAAAATGACATTTTGAAAATTGTCTAATTGTTGTTTTTTGGCCATACAATGGAAGTCGAAGGGTACCGAAACAGTTTGGTTACCAGCATTCTTCAAAATTTCTTCTGTTATGTTCCACTGAGAAAAGAAAGTCATGTGGATTTGGAATGACATGAGGGTGAGTAAATGATGACAGAATTTTTGGGTGCACTATCCCTTTAACAAGCATTAGCAATGAAGCTGAGCATTATGGTAATTTTCTTCAAGTGCATCTCGGAAACTGTAAAAATCATAAATGTAAGTGGACAAACCCTGAGGGAAAGAGAAAGATACTCTGCAGTAAAATTCAGCCCAAGTTAACTTCCCACTTTAGAGGTCATTGCAGGCAACTTTCTATCAAACCCAAAACATTCCATACAAACTTGATTTCAGTGCTCGATATGCAAACAGCTACTGGGCATTCATACAAATCTGAGCGTGCTGAACCGCAGCGCCACAACACTTCAACACATAGACACATCCATCAAAACGCTTCTAAAAAATGATTTTAAAACACACAGCCTCAAACATGAGGGACCACACAAGCAAATTCATATCGGGTATTACGGGTAACAGGATAAACTCAATGACCTCCAGTGGAATCCGAGCTGAGAGTGCAATCTCTGAATCAAGTCTTTAAAATGAAAACAATATTGAATATTTCCAGTTACAACATCCTGACATGTATCACACGAACTCTACGACTCCAAAGTGAAAAAAAGAGGTTATAGAAAAAAAGATGCTTTCAAAGCTTTTGAGAATGGAGTGGTTTTGTCTTTCAAGTCAACTCAGACTATGCCAAGAACTTGCGTGTCTTTCATTGTCTCTCAGGGTCAAGGGTCACTCCAGGTACATAAAGAAGCCTCTTGAGCACCTGTTTAGATGGCGGACTTCAACACAGACGTCCGAACAAAATCAGATATAGACAAAAAGAACACATTAAAACAAAATTTCTAAATGTTTCAAAATTCGGAAAAATTTAAACATTCCAAAACAGGCCCATTCACACCAAGAGCAATAATTATAATGATAACTATTAGGGCTGGGTAAAATTTTTTTTTTATTTTAATCGATTCTCATTTTTATGAAACAATATCGACTCCCAAGAAAAGATTAGTCTAGCCTGTCAGATAATGAACGGAACATTGTAGCGCGACTACCATCCAATAAATTGCAATAAAGCTTGGTTATTTGTTACTTTTGATATGAAACAAAGTCTCAGATTTCAAATTCTGTACATTATATTATAATATTCAAATATTAAATGCCATATTGGCGCTGTTTAATGTGGAGTGACAGATCGCTGTGAACTGATCATCTCCGCTCTAATAGCAGTTACAGCATGAAATAAACATGAATGAACATCCGAAGGCATGTTAAAAGAAAGAGCACAGCTTACCGAAATCCGTATCCTGTCTCATGTAATCGCTCAGTGTTTCAAACGCGGAAAGACGACAATAGCCTGTAAACAATATGTCACGTAACGTCACATTTACTACAGAAAAACATATGTGGTGACCATGAACTCATTAGTCAGCTAGAAAAATGAACTCTATAGAGGAGCATTTTGCTAAATATGCACCATATGACATATTCATTATAATTTTTTACTGTTCTTCAATATTTAATTTATGTTTGAATAAATCCGTCAAGTTTTTGTGACAACCACCATTTAAATCTTTATATTTCAAAAAACGATTTGGAGTAGAAATATAATTATGTAATTTAAAGTTAAAGTTAGTATTATAACTTTAATATGCCACAATTCTGTCTCTGAGCTCTTCAGGCAGTTCCTTTGACCTCATGATTCTCATTTGCTCTGACATGCACTGTGAGCTGTAAGGTCTTATATAGACAGGTGTGTGGCTTTCCTAATCAAGTCCAATCAGTATAATCAAACACAGCTGGATTCAAATGAAGGTGTAGAACCATCTCATGGATGATCAGAAGAAATGGACAGCACGTGAGTTAAATATATGAGTGTCACAGCTCATCTGAAAGGAAAGGGTCTGAATACTTAGGACCATGTTATATTTCAGTTTTTCTTTTTTAATAAATCTGCAAAGATGTCAACAATTCTGTGTTTTTCTGTCAATATGGGGTGCTGTGTGTACATTAATGAGGAAAAAAAATTAACTTAAATGATTTTAGCAAATGGCTGCAATATAACAAAGAGTGAAAAATTTAAGGGGGTCTGAATACTTTCCGTACCCACTGTATATCTAAAATAATCGATATTGAATCGAATTGAAAGCTTTTGAAGGATAATCAAATCGAATTGTGAAATTTGACGAAAAACCCAGCCCTAATAACTATAACTAAAATGTTTTCATTATCACTCTAATCCTATGAGAAGAAGGAAGCCCAAACCACAACTATAACGTTAACGACAGAGGAACAATAATATCATTGGAATCACTTTCAGAAAGTTTTTTCAAGCTGATGAATGATAAAAACATTGGCAGCCAATCATAATCCATTTGACCTTCTAGAGCTTGAGCAGTAGAGGACATAACTGCAATATTCTGTCGCGATGGCGGCGTTTCACAAAACCATAAGGTATGGCAGTGGTTCCCCCTTGGTAGAAATCGGGGTCCGGGGTCCGATCACCTAGGGTGGCAACAACGAACAACCTGGGTATGACGGGGGAGACTGCCATACTCTGCCATATGGAAATAGTGCCCCTGTTTTATCGGTCATTGGTGTGGACTTTAATGTAGTTATCGCTTTAGTTATTGTTCTCGGTATGAATGGCCCTTTAGATGTTATGGACATGTTTAAACGTCTTCCTGTGTGGTCGATTTGCCTGTGGAAGTGACAGAGTGTGATGATGCTTTGAATAATTATGTGCAAGATGGTGGAAAGTTATTTGGCCCTTGTGTAGTGCAGGACAAGAAAATGTATCCAATGCTGTGGGTAAGAAAAATAAATGGACCCTTCTCTTTGCAAAACATTAAATAAATGTGCAAAAAGAAGCAAATAATCTAACCTGTTACACCAAATACACAAAATAATGATCTTTAAAATAGCAACATATGACCCCTTTAAAAACCCAGAGTGGTGCACTCAAGAAAAACAGATGTTGTTTTGACGAGGGAGATCCATGTGGAAAAGACGTTGGTCTGTTACCTCCCGGTCTGAAGTTCAGACTTTTTTCTCCAACCTTAAAAGAAAATGGACCTCATGGGGAATAATACGAAGCTTTTGAAAAACCAAAACTAATTCTCTCGAGAGGGAATCCAAGAAGGATAGAACAATACAGGAATCTCTAAACGCTGACCACAGTCCTGACCTTCTGACGCCGAGCCTGAACAAACCGTTTGATATGCAAAACAGGTGAGATGGCCCTGTGAAGTTCAAGGGATTCGATTCCTTCACCGTATCTAAAACCTATGAATTCAGTGTTTGGATTATTCTTCTGGACACTTCAGACACACATCTAATGGAAATTCCTCACAGACCTGACACAGCAGCTGCTTGTTAATTGAGCATCAGTATGAAGGCTGCTGGGAGGAATGTGTTTGTTTGGATAGTTCATTACACACACACACACACACACACACACACACATACACAGACTGAGCAGTCTGCAATTATTACAGCAGGCGGCCTAAACCTGTAAATAAGGCTATAAAAATCCCAAAATTACTCATAGTGAGAAAACGCTACTTTTAAAGGTTGTTTCCATCAAGTGAGACATTGGTCCAAATCCCTGCCAAAGGTCTGAGATAGGGTTGTCAAAAGTACCGACTTCGTTACCAGTCAGTACTGAAATTTTAAAAATGTGACGATACCAGCATTTCCCGCTAGCATTTTGAGAGCTGTTAAGCAGATTCTTAAACACCTCTGACTGGCCATTGTGTTCATGGGCTCAACAGATATGTCTGTGATTGGCTACAATGATCATCCTTCATGTTCTTCACCAAGCGCTTACACCGGTGGTTTTCAATCCTGGTCCTGGGGGACCCACCAGCTCATTAGGTGAGAGCTCCATGAACGTCAGCTGAGTGTGTCAGATAAGGGAGACACAAAATGTGCAGTGCAGTGGGTCCCCAGGACCAGGATTGAAAACCACTAAATACACACGGGAGCGTTTGAAAGCCGGATAGTCTATGAGCAGATATATTAGGGATCCACTGATAGACACGGCTTTCAAACGCTCCCGTGTGTATCTGTGTAAGCACTCGGTGAAGAGAGTGAAGCGATGATCACTGTAGCCAATCACAGACATGTCTGTTAGCTGCGTGAACACAATGGCCAATCAGAGGTTTATAAGAATCTGCTCAAGTGGGAAATGCTGCATGCTGGTATCGTCACATTTTTAAAATTTCAATACCGTCTGGTACCAAAGTCGGTACTTTTGACAACCCTAGTCTGAGACATAAGAACCATGACGCTACTAATAAGAGCTTCCATTCAATGAAATCATTCCTCTGAGAGCTGCTAATGTGCTAAAGCAGAGTGTAGTCTGCGCAAGAGGGATACAACTGGGTCAGCGTCCACAGGACGTCTCACACAGGCAGTCATTTCCCCCCAAATCTGTTAAAACCAATACTAATTTCTAATGAAGTGCTCATAGGACAAAAACAGCACACATATAAGCAAAACATTACAGCATTTTATATAAAATGAGCCATTATAACAGATTCTATGATTTATAAATGACATTTTGAAATCAAGTCAACATCAAACAGGTTTCACAACCCTCAGGATATTCAATGAGAAGAAAAAAACAGGGCGGTACCTGATTTTATCCATTGGGAATTGATTGGATTGTGAAAGGAGGCTTTACATACTAGAATGGAGCCAGGAGGTTGGAGGGATGTTTTGATTATAAAGACTAGTGATTTTGCAACCAAAAAATATTTGTGCGGCTGAAATATTGAGAGACGACTATTTGCCGAATAACTTTACTATGATAACTTTTCATCTGTGAACACAACACCTTAAACAGTATACCAAATTTGATAACCCAATTACCCAAATTTAATTACAGAATTATGTGTTTCGGTAAAAATTATAATAATAATAATTTTGGTGCATCCCTAATAAAGACAAACCTTTCTTTGTTTAGTATAACATGTACCAATGAATCATTCACAAGACGTCCAGGAACATTTATTATTAAAGCAAATTATTTGGTTTTGAGTTGACGTTGACTTTAAGAAAAGAGGATTAGCAAAAGGCCACACATTTTGAAAGTTGTCACACTGATTTGACTCAGCACTTAAAATGCATGACTAACCAATCACTGCTGAGCTGTGGAAAGCGTTGAGTTCTGAATCTGAAAGCAATAAAAGTGACAGATGAACCTGTTACGGACCAAGAAAAATACTCCTCAGGTGCTGTTCCCCTAAATAAGCACTGAAGAAAATTTCATACAGTACTTCAAGAGGTCCAATTCATCAACAAAGTATTTTTTGGCAGAGATGCTCAATAAAAGAAGCTACGCCATATGTAACTATTACAATAAGATTTCCAGCTACTAAATTAAAAATTATTCCAACTGCAATCGATCTTTCATGACCAGCTAAGAGGGTTTGCCATTACCCACACACTCTAGCCTGAAGCACTCCCCAAAATGCTTTGGATGTCTGGGGGCGTTGGGTTGACTGGAATGTGCTGCTGCCTGCTAGAATCAATTCAAACCAACTCATCAGATGCCTTCATGAGAAAAAGCTATGGATGCCATAGACTTAGCACAGCCTATTCTGACCAACAGTAAAGGAAATTTTCTTGCCATTAAATAATGACACATTCTGAAGATGGACAGTGGATATTTTTTTAAATAACTACTATTTTGATACATACTTCTAAGTTCTTACTGTGTATATATATAGATAGTCTACATAAAATACATAAGTCAACATGTCCGGTGGTGTGTGACATGCTACACAATAATGATCTATTCATAGAATAAATCAAAATGATGACATTTACCAGAGTCCTCTGATGTGGGACAGGCCCAAAATCACCACTTTAAGGGGAGGACTTAAATCGGGTTAAAATGAGATACTTTTCATGCGAAATACTAGGCTGTCACACATACCTAATATATCTCTCTACGAAAATATATATATTTAAAAATAAACCTAGCATTTTTGTCTTTAAAGCTTAAAAAAATTAGTCATGGAATTGGAAAAACCAAAGTGCACTGTATTCTTAACTTGACTATGACACTGGCACAGCTGCCATCATAATAATTTACACAACATACATAAAAGTTATTATGACTTATCTATGAACGAAGATTGGCGACACGACACACTGCTATATTACTATTTTTCACTTAGGAAAAAAAGTTTTTAAAACTCCCGGTGGGCCTGAATTGTTATTTACCGACAGAACTGACCACAGTCGAGCTGGGACACAATTCAGAAGAATAAACGACATCGATCGAGGACAGGACAATAACTTAAATTACATTTTACCTTGCGCTCCTCGGAGAACTTACTAGGATGTATCCGAATGAACGCAGACTGACGTCCTCATTACAAAAAAGAAAATAAACGCTTTATTGTTGTAGAAAAATCTCTGCTTTCCCACTCCCCGGCAGCGGAGTGATGCGCGTGACTCCCAGTCAAGTCGAAACCGAACGAACGCGATGTGAAGCGGGAAACAATACGCGGTCACGCTTTATTACAAATTGCTATATTTTTCAAAATAAAAGTCTCTGACAAAAACGGCTTTTGCTGAAGATTTTATTTGTAATTGATAAATACAAAATTGAAGGGTGGTGGAAGAAGATTAAAGACATTTGTTTAAAGAAACTTTAAACTTCAAAAATAATTGCTTTTTGTAGTAGCATGTAGAAGTAGCTGAATAGTTAAAAAAAATCTGGGCCACTAAAACAAAGGTTGCAGGACATTGCCAAATTTAGATTACCCAGATCAAAGGACTAGTATTGCAGTCTTCAAGAAGTTTCTTTACTCTGTCACTTTAAATGAAAAGCTTGGTTACAGTTAATTAAAAGGCAAATAATATCGTTATAATAAAGCACTTCCCTAGTGTGTGGTAGTAATTTAGAGACCACAAACTACACATTCAAGCATAAATTAAACTCTATCAGTCCTGTATCACTGTATTTAAAAAAAAACGAAAAAAAAACATTTAAAGAAAGAAGAAGAAAAACAATCTTTGAATAAAAAGATATGTGAATAAGCTCAAAACTTTTTATTTCAAAAACACACGTCTTTTCTTTATGAAAGTAGCTATTTGCTTGGCATATAGGTGCCTTCTTTTCAGAGACTAACTAGGCATGTAAAACATAGCCTACATATAATTTTCCTCAAAACGTATCTGCCAAAACACAATATGGGTCAACACAATCAGATGCAAAAACCAGCGTGTCAAATCTCTATAAACGTATAATATAATTCAGGTGAATGAATGAATGAATGAATGAATTGAGATTACAGGATTTTCAGCTCCATATTTTGTATTGTCTACAACAAGCCATAAGAACTTGTTGAATCAAGGTGAAATATGCAAATTGGTGTTCAATTTAATGATGAACGGTACAGAGACAGGACAACAAAAAATTTTTTTTATTTTATTTAGCAAAATAATACTTTTATTCACCAAAGAAATATTAAATTGGTCAAAAGTGACAGTAAATACATTTATAATATTACAAATATTATTAAATATTAAAATTTTAATTTTGAATAAAAGCTGTTAAGCAGCACAACTGTTTTCAGCATTGATAATAAGAAATGTTTCTTGAGCTCCAAATCAGCATGAGAATGATTTCTGAAGGATCATGTGACAGGAAAGACTGGAGTAATGATGCTGAAAATTCAGCTTCGCAATCACAGGAATAAATTAATTTGAAAATATATTAAAATAGAAAACTGATATTTTAAATTGTAATATTGTATCACAATATTACTGTTTTTACTGTATTATTCATCAAACAAATGCAACCTGGATAAGAGATTTCTTTCAAAAACATTAAAAAATCGTATCAGCCCCAAACTTTTGAAAGACAGTGTGTATTTAACAAATGATCGATATCCGAATTCTATTCTATTCTATTCTATTCTATTCTATTCTATTCTATTCTATTCTATTATATTATATTATATTATATTCAGAGCTGGGTAGATTACTTACAAATTGTAATCCGTTACTGATTCCAAATTACATGACAAATATTGTAGTTATGTAATCCATTACATTACACGGTAATATAATCAGACTATTTTTTATAGATTACTCTGATTACTTTTGACCTAACTCATTTATCATTTACATAGGATAATCTTGTACCATATTGATATAAAAATACAAAAAGTAATAAAATATATTTCATTCATTGTTATTAACAACATGAAGTACATTTAACATTGCATTATGTCAAAGTTTCACAAACTGGGGTTCGTGAAGGAACTGCAGGGGGTTTGTGGGTTTAATGAAAAGCTTAATAATTAATTAAATCATAAAAATTTAAAATTAAAATAGATCATTTTAAAATAACATAAATCAAAATAAAAATGAAATAATGTCATGTGACCATTAACCAATGTCAGAGAACCATGAACATGCAAATGTTACTTATTAAAATATTTATTTTAAAATCTCAGGGGTACTTCAAGTAATTATATTATATTATATTATATTATATTATATTATATTATATAGGTGAGAGATGTTCAGATGACAAAAAAGTTTGGAATCTCTGCATTACACAATGTGAATTTGTGCATTTTCATATTTGAAAGACAAAAGCCTTCCAAAGACCTAGTAATACATGACTAAATAATACACTGAGTGATAACTCAAATAAATAATAAATTGATGCAATGTTGAAACTTCTTCAACCTGAAATGACTTTTGTAAATCAGTGGACAAATGCTGTGTAGCCCTCTGACTAGTGACTGGTCTTTGTGTGAATGTCCACAAAACTGGCAGACTTTCTGAACGAATACAAGTGGTAGGCTAGAGGAACATTTAAAAGATGAAAAAGAGAAATTATATTTATATAATAATTACGGAGAATCAATAAATTATAAACAATTGATTGCTATTGTGTGAATAATATGTAATCATGTATTCAATAAAAAAGTAACTGTAGTCTGATTACGAGTATTTTAAAATGCAATTACAAGTATTTAATTTTTGGAATCTGATTACGTAATTCAGATTACATGTACTCAGCTGCCCAGCTCTGATTCTACCTGCCCTGGAGGAGGCGTGGCTCTTTATTCTCCTAAAGCGAGTTCTCGGGACTGCCAGAGGGGGCGCATGCGAGCACAGTGGCGGGTGTCAGAAAAGAGGAGGTGCGTGGCGTGATACGCATCTCTCATTTGAGTGTGCTGTATGTGTGGAGGGGAAGCGCAACACACGTTGTGATATTCGCACTTCTAAACTGAGCTAGAACCAACTTTATTTCCCCCTACTTTCGCTTTCCTCGAACGGAGGAGGACGTTCCTGAGTTTTTGTTTTAGGAGTAAGAAGGCAAATCCTCGGCTGTGGAGGAATAATGTCGGCGTCGGCGGCGAAAGTGAGCCGAAAGGAGCAGAACTCGAATCACGACGGAGCGGACGAGACCTCGGGTAAAGTAATGGCGGTCTCCTGCGCACCGCCATTTTCAGTAACTTCCATTTCTTGCGTTTAAAGCACGAATATCAATTCTAACTAGCCGCTTGGTGTTTATTTTAACCTTTAAACGAAGCCCGAGTTAATCCAGCAGAAGTCTTTTTTTGCGGTGTAATTTCAGCAAAGGGATGTTGCGCGCACCGGAGGCCATGTTTCCTCGCGCGGAGGCTTTATTGTGCCACGCGCGACGAACATTGCGCTCGCGCGCCATTTAATTTATAAAAACCGCACAGTTCCAGGTTGTTTCCACTTATTTATGTGCTCAACTGTGTCTTTCAAGCTTAATGTGGCTTGAGTGTTATTTGTGCGCTGTATTGCGCCCATGTGTGCTAGTAGGCTAACGTTAACTGGTTATTGTGTCTGCCCCGCCATCACGAGCCATTCCCGCATGTCATTGAACCACGCTGCCGCTGCATCACAAACTACTGTAAAGGTGTTTAATGACGCTCAATTGGGTCGAAATGACTTCCTAGTCCGATCTAACTGTTAATGCACGGCAGTAATGTGTAATTCATTGGGAGGAAGGTAAATCTGGCCCAGCGCGTGGCCTCCTCCTCCGTTTAAACCTCGCGGCCTTACGCAGCTGCTGCTGAAACTGCACCGGATTGAGCTGGTCGCTCGGCGTGAACACCCCGGTTTCACTTTTAACTTATCTTTGTGTTTTTGAATCGGATGAGGCTGGCATTAGATAATGTTGCTTTATTTTGTTAATTTTATTTACGAAATAGATCGTGTTTACATTGTACGAATGCGTTGTTTAGTGTATAGTCGCATGTGTAATTTGTGAAGTCATGCTTTTATGTTAGTCCGTATATAAGGATTGCTTGCAGGTGCAATTTTGTCCTACTTTTTGCAGGGAGTTAATGGTGACGCGAATTAGCCTTTTTGTTAATGTTACCGTTTATTGCATTTCAGAAAAAGAGCAACAGGAGGCAATTGAACACATTGATGAAGTACAGAATGAAATCGACAGGTAAGTTTGCCATTGCTGCTCAAGTATCATTTGTAATGTCACATTTAATGCAGTTTTTATTTATGCTTTTGTATTTTTCTGCTTCTGTTGTTTTCCTCAGATTGAATGAGCAGGCGAGTGAGGAAATTTTAAAAGTAGAGCAGAAGTACAATAAGCTACGTCAGCCATTCTTCCAGAAGAGATCAGAACTCATAGCCAAAATTCCAAACTTCTGGGTCACAACATTCGTCAACCATCCACAAGGTGAGAAGATGCATATAATACTGAGACCATTTGATGGTGATGTTAAATATGGTCGATTTCTGATATGGGTTTATATATTCTATTCGAATGTATTGTTTTTGATTAATAGTCTCAGCCTTGCTCGGTGAGGAGGATGAAGAATCACTTCATTACCTGACCAGAGTGGAGGTCACAGAGTTTGAGGACATCAAATCAGGTTACAGAATAGATTTTGTAAGTACTCTTTTTCATCTGGTCGAGTCTGAAAGTAATGCACAGCTGTGACAAACCAATTGTCTGACCTGTAATTTTATCTTCTCTGCAGTACTTTGATGAAAATCCATACTTTGAAAACAAAGTTCTCTCAAAAGAATTCCACTTGAACGAGAGTGGTGACCCATCTTCAAAATCCACTGAAATCAAATGGAAGGCTGGAAAGGTGGGTTAACTTCTTCTTTTTTTGGACAGTTTTGGCCTAATGCTGTTCCTTTTTGGGTGTACGTTAACTTTTTATGTATGATGCAGGACCTGACGAAGCGTACTGGACAGACACCGAACAAGGCAGGGAAGAAAAGGCAACATGAAGAGCCAGAGAGCTTCTTCACCTGGTTCACCGATCACTCCGATGCAGGGGCTGATGAACTCGGAGAGGTCATTAAAGATGACATCTGGCCCAACCCTCTGCAGTACTACCTGGTATGAAGTATTATTATTGCATTACTGCAGGTGTATATTAGCCATAGCAAGTCAGAACTTGTATTTATCTTTCTTTCTCTCTCTCAGGTTCCTGATATGGATGAAGAAGAGGGTGAAGGCGAGGAGGATGATGATGAGGAAGAGGAGGAGGGTTTGGAGGACATTGATGAAGAAGGGGATGAGGAAGAGGGAGAGGAAGACGAAGAGGAGGATGATGGAGAAGATGGAGAGGTGAGATAATTCAAAGCTTTGGCTTTAATTTGAGGGCAAATTACAGTTTTTGTGGTTTATTCGTGGACATTGATTTAAAATGTATTTAGTAAGTGCATCATTCATTATTTGTAAAAACTTCATAAACTGGCACAGTTCGGCCCTAAATATTTTCCCCTTCTTTTTCAGGATGATGGGGAGGATGACTAAAGGCTGATAAGGACATATTCCAACACTTGTACCTGTTCTTTCCTTTTTGAAGTCATCCTCCAACCATGGGAGCAAAAAGCTTTGTTTTTATTTCTTTATTTTTATAAAAAAAAAAATTGTGCTCCATCTTCTGTTCAACTGAATCCTCTCCTGTCCTGACCATGTCTAAACCCTGTTAATTCTCTGGACATACAGTTCCTGCATTGGAAAACTAGTGGCATCTTGTTGCTGAAGCCTCTTGCGTCATCTTTAATTACAACCATCTCCAAAGACAAATAAAAAATTAACAATCTGCACGTCATCCTCTGTAGACTAAACTTAAGTAAATAGCAGTTTATATATTAAGTATATGAAATGATTTTTTTTCTGTGAATGGTTGTGAGTTTAAGTAATAAGCCATGGTGCAGTGATCTAATCATAGCGTACATACCTAGCCACTTTTTTCTTTGTCTTTTGTATATTTTCTTTAATGCAGAGGTGGGCCCCAAAGAGTTGACACTGTTTTTCCTCTGTGATGTTTTGGACAAAAGGAAAGCACCAGCTAGCTCCTGTCAACTCTTGTAAATGTTTTGGGGTCAATATCAGGGTATGGCAGTTATTATTGTTGACAGTTCAATGGGGTCGGGTGGGGCAAGTGGGCATTTGACACATCAACATTTGGGTTTATGTTGATTGAATTTTCATTGTAATGTTTTACAGACACCCATGAGGTTTGAAACATTTTTAATAAAAACAAAACAAAAAAACTTCTTGTAATTTTGAGCTTGGCTAATTAAAGGATTATTTAAATGAGATAATAAAGCCTGTAGAATCTTAAAGAACTCTACAACTGGTCTTTTCTCCACCTGTTTTCTTTTATTGGAGATGTACAAATGAACAAGTTTAAGAGTACAGAGGTTTTTATACACTTTTATTTTAAATGGTACACTTTTAAAACTTTTTTTTTTTAAACGGAATTTTATAATTTAGGTTAATTTTGAATTGTATCTCATCAAAGAGTCAACAGTAGGCTCAGTGTTGGAACAATCACTTTTTAAGGTATTGCAGACAGCTGGGTCATTACTACAATTTAGTCCCTTTTAACTCCATGCAAGTTATGGCTTTTATAAGGTTAGATTTTAACTGCTTTGAGCTCTAAAGAGTTTGGTTAAAAGGAGACTTTTTTTTATTACATTACACACTGCTTTGGGCCTAAAAATCTATAATTTAAGTCGTTTTGATTTATTGACTGGTCATTTTCCCAGAGCAGTATATTAAATGTCTTCTAAAAAAATATCCACTACATTTTGATTGAATGGTATGGGGAAAAAATATTTTATTATTATTTATAGTGATATATATGTGTGTGTTTGTGTTGGGTTATTGTGTTTTCTGATTGAGATGTTAATCATTTATGGTGAAGATTATCATGTACACCACATTACAGGAAACCCAAGGGAAACGAATATTTTATCACTTCAAATTATTAATGATGATATATTTCTTAAAGTATAATTATAATGGCTTTTTTTTTAATATAAAGAAAAATGGGTTTGTTGTCAATTAATTAATGTAGTTCTACTAGTTGCACGTTTATCTTAAATCGCATAAGATTTTAGAGTGGACGTGAGAAAATATAACCTTCATTGATCAGTAATATAATATCAAATATGAACATTGATTAATACAAAAAACAAGTTTATATAAAGTTTATATTAGAAGCCTGAGGCTATTATGTGTTTGTTCGTGACAATTTTCAACGCCCAAATGGCACCGAATTGTAAGCATGACCCAATATAAAACTGAAACTGCTCTGAGTAGGTTGACCAATCAGAAGCTAACACCTGTGACGCAAGAAGGACAGCCAATCATTGATTGGCTCACGGTATCCATGGCAGAGCAGTCACGGATGTCACATCCAGGATAACAATGGAGGAACGAACAGCGCTGTGCAGTGGCCAAATACAATAAAATATCGTACAAAATTAGCAACAATAAGTGTTTTCCCTATTACAGAAGCAGATTTTGATTCGTCGAACATAAAACCGTTTTAAATATAACGAATAACCAACAAATCGTGCTTTATGAAAAATAATCGCTAGCTCCCAGCTAACGGTAACGTCTTATTGAGACTAAGCATTTTGTAGAGATATGAACATATATATATTTTTTTTTGTCTGAGATAAAGATTAAATAGTTTATTCTCGCTAGCTGACAAAGTTTAAACATGTTCACGGATGAAACTCTTGACTTAATTGGTGCCGAATCGACATGGAGAAAGTCACATCAGCAAACACAAGAATCAGTAAGTGAAAAAGTTTGCTTACCTTCTCTAACCAGAATATTCATGCACTTGAAAAAATATCTGTCCTTTTGTGTGATGATGTATATTGTGTTTTATTCCCGCCCAGAGAAGCTGTCAAACTCTTCCAGTTCACACAGCAGAGGCTGAAACACAAGCCAAAGATGTGTTAGACAACAGCACCCAGACACAAGACCAGATCAGTCAAACACTCTCCCTAGATCAAAACATATCTCACTTTCCTGGTTTGCTGGACTTCTTGCATAAAGTTGAAGACATAGTTATCAAAGAACTGGTGAAAAACTCCAAGAGTCATGCTTTTGATGGGTTTCAAGTGAACTGGGAGGATCAGAATGAGTCAGCGAGAGCCTCGAATGCAAAATATATTAATAATTGTATTACAACTTATCTTACAACTGGTGATTTTTTTGCGCAGGTGTCCTGCATGTACCGTCTTCAGCATGTTGATGCTCAGGAAAGGGGTCTGCAAGTCACCAGCGTGTCGTGGAACTGCACCGGCTCGGTCATAGGCTGTGGATTCGGCCGGTAACAGCCATTTCCCCGTACAGACACATACAACCACCTGCTGTCGTAATTAAAGCAGTTTTAATGTTGTATTTTTGGGGTTAGTGTGGATGATGGTGATTGGAGCAATGAGAAGGCGTATGTGTGCACGTGGAACCTGGACCGGCAGAACCTGAACCCAAAGCGGCCGGATGTGATCATAGACGTGGCCACTCCAGTCATGTGCCTGTGCTTCCATCCTGTGAGACCGTCTGTGGTTGCTGGTATTGAAATACATTTACAAAATCAAATGCTTTTACATTTTTTCCCTTTAAAGAATGACTCACACACACACAGCTAGGTTCATATTTTACCTCAAAATGGAGAGAGAAAAAAAACGAACATAAAATGTGAAATATTTGCATAAAGAAACTGAAGCTTAAAATTTAGCATAAAATGGAAAATATGTGAATTTTTTTGTGCAATTATTCATCATGTTGTGTCAGTTAAATAGTACAGAAATCCTGTTTGGATGCAATGTTTTTACTTTTTAAATTAGCAATATTAGAGGCAGTAAAACAACTACTACTATTAAAGATATGTATAGATAGATTGATTTATTTTCTGACAGAAATTAATTAATTAATTACTTTTATTTAGCAATTCTGCATTAAATTGATCAAAAGTGACAGTGAATTAATTTATAATGTTGCAAAAGGCTTCTATTTCAAATAAATGCAGTTCATTTAAACTTTTGAATTGGGCATAAGGCACTTCTTTCAAAAAATATATAAATATATATATAAAAAATCATCCTGAATAGAGCCATAAGAGCCAAACAGTTATCAACAAATAAGTCTGAAAATCAACAATCTCAAAAAAAAAAATAAACAAAAAAAAATCTAATTTCTCCAAGTGATATTCTCCTAGTATTTTCATACTGCGGTATTTGACAATTATATTCATAAGTGGAATCCAAACCCTCAGTTATTACGGATAAATAAATATTGATGGCTCATTTCCAGCCGGTCCTCTTATTTTTGTGTCATTAGGGGGGCTGTACAGTGGTGAGGTGGTGGTCTGGGACACCAGCCGCTCACAGGACCTCATTCTGGCTCAGACGGGAATGTCTGCAGATACCCACCGTGAACCAGTTTTTCAGGTATTTAACCTATTAAATAAAAATCTATGACTGAAATCTGATGAATGAGGTTTCAGTGATCCATAACTGCCGATTATTTCTGTGTGCACAGGTCAGCTGGGTCCCAGGAGCTCGCAGAGGGGAGTTTATCGTACTGAGCGCCGGTTCAGGAGGAAGAGTTCTGTTGTGGACTGTTGATGGAGCTGAAGCCAAACTCATCTTGAGTTCTGGATATGCCCTTGTTCAACAGCAAGTGCCTCAGTGTGGAGCAGCAAGCAAGGTGGGTGTCACAATATGGTCTTGGCAAAAACAATATTTTGTAAAAATTGCGAACCGTCTGTTTTTCCTTGTGAAGATGATGTAACGAAACGCATATCCTAATGAACCACGTGGTTTTTACACAAATTAATGTAATTCAGTTTAGATATGATATCTATCTAATAATTATTGTAATGATCCCAGATAAAACAGAATGTGAAAAAGAATGTGCTACTTAATTATAACTTTTGGCCTGGTGGATCTCAAAAAGCCTGTCATATACAAGTTATATTTAATCTCAAAATAATTAGAAAAATAGAACAAATTATGCTAATGATTACAATTTTTTTTTTACCTAATTTTTGTTACTGTATATAGTATTTGTTTTTGTAATATTTTGAAAAGGTTTTATTTTTGCATTTTCTGTTTTCATTTAAATTTTAGGTAAAATGTTAGTAATGTTGTTATGTGTATTTGCCATTTTAATTTTTTTAAATACGTCTATAAAGGTTTTATAAATAAAACAAAAATTATTAATTAAATTTATATTCAAATTAATTTTATTTAGTCTTTTATTTAGTTTAAGTTATTTTAGTACATCAGGTAAAACTAATTAAAATTAAAATGAGAAATGAAACTAGCTGAAATAAAATAAATGTAAGGTTTTTTTACATTAATTCAGTTGCTGTTTATTTTATAAGAAGTAATTAAAATTTTTTTTTTTTTGATGAAGTTTATTTGTTACTAAGTTTTTACTATAATAAACCTGGTATATGATAATAAAAATTATATAGTATGTAATCTGTAAGGAACTGTAAATTTTATGGCAGTATTTATTGTACTGTCGTATTGTAGTTTTTTCACAGTGCAATATAATAATATCATATAATATGTGACCCTGGAGCACAAAACCAGTCTTAAGTCGCTGGGGTATATTTGTAGCAATAGCCAAAAATACATTGTATGGGTCAAAATTATAGATTTTTCTTTTATGCCATAAATCATTAGGATATTAAGTAAAGATCATGTTCCATGAA